CAATGTGCTTTTCTTGGCCTTCCAGATGTTCTACCTTCCAGATGTTCTACTTCCCAGTCTAGCCAATCACTCTGAGGTTTTCTGATGGCGTTCCACCCAGAACAAACCAAGTCCAAACCCAATTTGTTTTTTCAAAGACAGCCAGGATGGGTTAGATACAGAAGAAGGAATTGGCAAATCCATAATGCTGCCAAGAAAACTCAATGAATACATTCACTAGGAATTTAGCTCAAGGGCCCCATTTGATATTATTACTTCTCCCCTTTGACATTATTTGTGGTCACTGTCCTATCCAATGTGTCCTTCTTCTCCAGAAAACTACAATAAATCAGTTTTTGACAATGTCTTTTAGATACATAACAATATGTATTGACACATGATAGTGCACATGGCATACCTTATTCCTTCAAGAAAATGATGCAGGGTCCAGGAGCAATTGGACAGCTGAACCCGTTTTACTGCTTCCTATTCATTTTTAATTTCTCAAGGTACGCCATTCCTTCACTTTGAAGGAAGGAATGGCTTACAAAGGAGGTGGGGGCAAAAATCAGCCTTCTGCCTCCTTTCTTCTGAAGGCTCAGCTCTAATCTTGTGCAGGGGCAGAGTGATGATATAGGTGAACCAATCTTTTGGAGGATGGACATTTGCAAAAATAGGTTTATAAAGGGGAAATGCTAGCCAGTCATACAAAGGTTTCTGAAATACCAACCAGAAATAAGGGAGATTGGCAAACCATAGCCAGGTGTGTGTTGTCTGGAGTCCATATCCTGGATTAGCTTGGTTAATGTTAAGCCATATTTACTATGCTCCATTAATATGATGAATAACAGAATGTGAAACGGTCAATTTCTTTTACGCTAGTTGGTAGCACTCCTCCATATTTAACCAGCAGGACATATGTTTATGTGTGAAAGAGGATGGCTGGAGTTTCCCTTGACACCATCTGGAAGAAGAGTTTCCAGAATCTCTTTCCACATCTTACCATGACTGGCTTTTGCTTTTGTGAGGGAATGGACAAAGAGTTCTCCAGGGCATTGATATTCTGACCTCCATCCTCTAAGATTCCCATTCAAGTTGCATGGGAAGAACTGGCCATCCATTTGTGACAGACAGACACCTAAATTCAGCTTCCAATCCTTGCCACCTTGTTCAAGTGAAGGTTTCACTGTCTTTTCAAAGTTCACTGTGAATCCTGTCTGACAAAACAGGGCTTTGTGGAATGAAAAAGTATCTTTAGATAGGGAAAGATCTTTGCAATCTTAAGGAAAAGAAGGGTAACTTCTACGTAGGCTTGCAGATATGATGTGCTGAGCCTGGAGAGAGCTTTGTGAAAGCAGATAGACAATTTCATGTGCTATCCTGCAGAGAAATAAATAAGTGAAAACATGCTTCACATTCTACAGTCTCTGTCCAGCAGCTAGCAGAAGTTGTTTATAGAACAGTATGATGATATAGATTGACCAGGTTCACAAAATATATTTAAGACGTATCGGCTTTATTCACACTGCCTGATAGATTTGGTTACTTTCTTGGGGTCTTGGGTATTGGGAAATAATAGCCCTTTTGTTTGCCATGTGACTATATATTGTACGAGTCCAGAAAAATGCCTATTCAGTAACTCAGTTAAGGATCTGCAAACCCAGCTGTAAGGTATATTAGCTTTCTCTTAATCTGGCACCCTCTACCTGTGCTGGATCACAAACACAATTCTCTTTAGCCATGATATCCAGGAGACCACAACTACAGTCCAGCCCAGCTGGAGGACGCCAACTTGAGGAAAGTTGATGTCTAACAACTATTTGTGAGTTTGGGAAGAAAGTACTACCGAATGGCATTCATGTTCCATTCCATGCTGTAGCATCTTTCTGTCGGTATGTACACAAAAGAATGGGAAACATACAGGGACCCTATTAAAACCATAAAGCTGAAAAATATATAGGATACAATCCTTACACACTGAATTAAGAACAAACCCCGTTGAACAGAATTACTTATTTTTCAGGAAGTCTGCACAGAATTGGACAGCATATCTCCTAAGCAACTGAACTCATTCTGTGAAATAAAGGGAAAAAGCCCCACCATCACTGTATTCATAAAATCAAATTTAGGAAGCTGTATGAGTAGTCCTCTATCTGCAAGAATCAGGAAGACTTTGTCAAGCTAAATGGAACAGAGATATTTGCCCTCCTCAAATGAGGGAATAGAAGCAGCAACTTCAGTGTTAAAATGCCACTTTTGGTTCTCCCCCCCTCCACCTCTTTCAAATTTCCTCTGCAGCATTTCTGATTTCTGCAATGCATCTCTGATGTAATCAGTGATCCTGTGAAAAGAACTTGCTACCATTTTGTGGTGCAGGCAACTGCAGAGCAGTTTCTTGGATGAAAATGATAATGTGCTATAAAATGCTATAAACCATGAAAGTCTGAACAGACTTTTGAGAGCTGGAAAAGCTTAACTGCCATTTATTATTCCTCCCTATAGTAAAATGTGTTCAAGTCCCAATGTAATGAATGGCCTTTGCAAAAAGGCATTACCATGAGAAATTAAAGTACTTGTCGTTTTTATGGAAGAAATAGCTGCTGATAGCTGAAAGTTGTGATGGCCTTATGCAATGTCCACAGGCCAGAAGCTTTGGATATCAGTTGATGGAGAACAAGAGTGGAAGGGATTGAGTGGCTATTTGGAACAAAGTGCTAGATTAGACATTATCGCTGATCCAATAGCTCTTTGACCTGATGTACATTATAGCAATAAAACCCAGCAGAGCTCAAAATTTCAAAAGATTGATCTCCATTGCATAAACAAACATAGCACTTAACTAGCTTTCTCCAATGACTGTCCCTGTAGGGATAATGAGAAGTCAAGCCCAACACACAGAGAAAGCATCATGACATGAAGAGCAGCCTTAAAAACCAGCCAGAGAGATATACTATGTACCTGTCATTCAAAGCAGTTTCCAAATTCTCATTTGCCAGCTTTAAAACCCATACAGTAACCTCAAACTTCAGCTCTGCAGTTATAAAAGTGAGTTATGGAAGACGTAGCGAAAATGAGAGCGGTGGCATATCTGAGTTTTCACCAATATATGAGAATAATAATTTTGCTTAATTATCTAACTTGCAGCTATTAAATGGTCAAATTTTATCCCAAGCAGTCTGGGGAAACTAATCCATAAATTCAATACCAAGTCAATGTTTTAGCTTAGTCTGCTATTTAAAATGAAAACAAAAACGATAACAAACCCCAGACCCTAACTACTGAAAAGTTAACTCTTTCGTTCTAGAGCAGAGTTCTGCAAACAAAACCAAGCTATTCACAATTAACTCTAGCTACCGAGTTGCACTTGCTGAGAGAAGATGAAGTGGGGATAAAGAAGCAGTCCATAATATTCTCAATAAACAGGTTTCAGATACATTACAACCATGGTGAAATCAAGGACATTGCAACAGAAAATGCTGCAAAGGACAAGCAACGGAAATGCATTTGTGATGTGACGAAGTCGGTGAACAAAAACTCTCAATCAGGATAAATGAAAGTAATAATGAATGTATTTCCTTCTCAGAACTGCTAATCAGGGGGTATCAAGCTGAAAACCAGCTTTTTCCTATTCCACAGTTCAAACTGAGAGAAAGTGCACTCAAGTTAAAGAAAAAGCAGGGGGGTGGAGAGAGAAAAAAGTAGGGGTAAAGCCATGACAACTGTCCGGAATGAACTGCAGCTCGAAAAGCAAGTAAATTCTGTTATTTGAACATACTTTAGCCCCTCAACCAAAACAAAGCAAGTAGCTTTGATTTACTGGGAGAGCCGGGGTCCCACGAAAGTGACTTTCCACATATAGAATCCAAGACCGCTAAAATACTGCTCCATGCAACCAAACCCTCTCATGTTCTACTAGTCAGCTCAAACAACCATGTTGCAATTGTGGGATTCTACATTGGGATAACTGCTATGTCACGGGAGAACGTGAAAAAGAGAAGGGGCCGTGCCAAATAAAAGCTACAGTCCCAGGCACCTCACTTGGAAGTGAGAGTGACTGAAATCTGGGGTCAGCAGAGTGAGATCTTTTTTCCTGAAAAGCACGGATAGAATGAGGAAGGGAGAAAGGCACTTAAAAATGAAACTTCCCCAAAGTGCGACTGCAAAAAGATAACTGGACGGTTATGGAAATAACAGGAATACACACAACAGATACACACACACACCTATACGCAGAAGAGCTCCTCCAGCTTCCAGACTCAAATTAAGTACAAATGGTGCACCGAGCAAAGAAACGATTGCAGCAACTGCACACTCTATCCGCGTGAATCCGGATTAATACAAGACCCTTTCCTTTCAGCTCCGGGTTCCAAAATGGATGAAAACTCGACATTCCTGAAACTGTAAACTTGCGTTTACGAAGCCAAGTTGCGGAAGACG